ATCTATCTATCTATCTATCTATCTATCTATCTATCTATCTATCTATCTATCTATCTATCTATCTATCTATCTATCTGTCTATCTATCTATCTATACACACTGTCTCAGGGCAATCTAACAAATTAAATTGCCCATTCTTGTCCGCCACTTTGCAGTACTATGCTTTTTTGAACAAGTGTTATCTTGTCTTGATCAATGTCACACCCTGGGTGACCTCCCAAAATAAACACGGAGCACAAAGTGGAACTCAGTTAGGTGGTTTAAATGAAGTGTACACTTATTCATGTAGAAAAATACAATACTATGGCCACTTAAAACGACACAAAACCATTGTAAAAGAGGTGCTTGAAAGACAGATCATGTGGGGCAGGAGAACCAGAGGAAGGCAAAGAATAACAGGGATGGACATTACAACATAAGAACATGGACTGGCCTGGATATGGGAGAAAGTGCAAAGGCAGCTCGCGACCGTGTAGGAAGGATGGAGGGTAATTACACGTCAACCTCTGAGTCAGATATGACACCTCCAGCACAGCTCACTTATTCATAACCGGATCGAAAAGATTGAGTCCGGTCAGGGAGACGAAGGGAATTAATGTAAAACAAATAGCAACAACACTCCGAACCAGTGCTTAGGTTTTGAGGCTTCTCCAATTTCCAACGTTTTGGAATTGATGTCACAGTCGTCAAATCTGTAGACAAAATTAATCTACCATCTTTAGTCCCAGTTTGTGTGTCTGTTTGTTTGTTTATTTGTTAGTTAGTTAGTTATTTGGTTAGTTAGTTAGTTAGTTAGTTTGTTAGTTTGTTTGTTTGGAATTACTGCCCGTGTTCCGTGGAATTTTCGTTTAATTTTGTTTTGATTTCAGTTTTCGTTATTGGAATTCAGAGAAGTAATTAAAATTTACACCAATACCCGGGAACAAATTAGTGATAGTACAGGATAAAGTTAAGTTCGTGAATCACAGCCTTAGTTGGAAGTTGCTGTCTCAAGAAAGATAACTCACGGAAAGTAAAGAGGTCAGTATGTAAGAATTCGAACCGATTAGGCTATCCGAAATAGATTTTGTACCGACAATGTGCACACTGGTAAAATACAAACAAACTAAGCAAATCCATACAAACATTGTACAGCACAGAAATTGTTTTTCAATGCACACATGACTTATAATATCCTGTACAAAGCAAAAAGATTAGTTGTCCTGGTACCCAAGCTTAAATACCACACTGTCATGTCTGTCATTTCCATGTTATAGTGGGATTTACTTTTCTCAACGCTCAACATCAGAAGTTATCAAGTTCGCCGGCAAGAAGGGACATAACATTTGAAAAAAAAACTTCTAGCCTTTTCTGAGGTAATCTCCCTTAGACTTGCTCGACGAACGTCTCTGCTGTGGTTGCTTTTCTTTATTCAGTCAGGACGTTAAAGGTAGGCCCTAAAGTGGGTTTTCAAGTTCCTTGGTCGCCTTGCTATTTGAAACAGGGAAATTAGTAGTAACATACCATCTTCAAAATCTGAAAAGAGAAGGCTTTTTCTGTTGCAAAATTGTGCGGAAGGTGTTTTAACACTCACATCGGCACAATTTATAATAATATCATTTAAGAAGAGGCCAACCTGAGCTTAGACTAGAGTTCCCAGTGGTGAGACCGAGACACTCGATAAAAATTCTCCCCTCACGAGAATAGAACTCAGATCTTCTGCGTGCAACAGCGAGGCGGCTAACCAACCGCTCTAGCCTACCACAGATGCTGGTTAGAAAGCGCCCCCAAAATAGTAAAGTGTAGAAAAATAAGAAAACAACAGGAAGAGGGCAAGGGTTATACAATGAAATGAATGAAACGAGTATTTTAGGAACTGGTTTAGTTTAGTTTTAGT